AAAAAAAAACTCTTTCAAGAAAGTTTCTTTTTGTTTTCTTTTAACTTAGTTTCCATCAGAAACTCAATACTAATAATATTAGTAAATACTTTACTCAAATGAGCGAAGAACTAACCTATAAGATTTGTGTTGTTGGTCCAGAGAAATCAGGAAAGAGTTGTTTAATTAATCGTATTGCATTAAATGTATTTAAAGAACAGCCAACCAATGAGCCTCTTGTTTGTTTTTCTTTTTCATTTATTTCTTTAATGGCATAAAGAATTAATTTTGTTTAGATTAAAAGAGTTATCAGAGTTGCAGGAAATCTTATTTGTTTAGACCTTTATGAATTAATAAATTTAAAAGAAAAAGAACGTACAAAATATTATCAAGGAGTTGATTGTATTTTATTTGTTGTTTCGATGGAAGACATAGAATCATTATGCCTAATTCCAAATTTAGTTGATGAAGCTGAAAAAATAGGTTCTATTCCATCTTCATCAATGTTAGTTGCAACTAAAAATGATGGAGACATAGAGATAGAAGAGTCTGAAATTTATAAAATGGCACAGAATCTTCAGTTAAAATGTCTTTTTGTTTCAAGTAGAACTGGATATGGGTTTGATAATTTGTTATTTGAAATACAAAATGATATATTCTCTATTATGGAGAAGAATGCACTTAAACACTCTCACGATAAATCATCAAAGAAATTAGTTTGTTTTTGTTGAATAAAGTAATTTTTTTATTGTCTCTTACTCATCTTAATAGAAAAAGAAGTAATTTAGAATTATAATTATTATAAAATTTCCATTAGTTATAATTGATTATTCAGTCAGGCATGACACAAAAAGATCAAGTTTCAATGCCTCTTCACAAGTAATTCTTTCTAACGGATTAATTTTTAATAATTTTAAACATAAATCTTCTTCATCAGCAGGTAAATTGGGAAATGAACATTTCATTAATTTTAAGGGGTTAATCATTGAATAAAATGGAAGATGAATAAATTGTTGTAATTGGTCAGGAAAAATACTGTTAATTTGTTGTAAAATTTCTGTTGCATCATTTCCATGAAACAGTATTGTATGAGAAAATAGTTCAACAAAAACACACCCAAGCGACCATTGGTCTATCTCTTCTGAGTATTCTACAGCACCATACAGTAATTCTGGAGGTCGGTACCATAATGTTATCACTTCATTACACTGACTCCTATTAGGAATTGAGTTCCATTTTGCCAATCCAAAGTCACAAAGCTTAATTAACCCATTTTTGTTTATCAAAATGTTATGTGGTTTTATGTCTCGGTGAATAATGTGATTAAAATGAAGAAATTTAACTGCTTGAAGTATTTGAAAAGCAATATCAGTTGCTTGATGATGAGTAAATGCATGTGCTTGTAATTCTTTTCGGAGATCAGAAGTACAATAATCCATTATGATGTATACTTTGTTTGTTATAATTATGTCTAATATTCCTATAATGTTAGGGTGGTTAATCATTTTTAAAAGTGCTATTTCTCTTATTGTAGCAGAACACATTCCACACTCCCCTAACTTCATTTCTTTCACTGCAACAAAATTATTTTCTTCTTCAGATTTGCTGTTCTTTGGGTTATAGATAGTTGCTTTATAAACAAGTCCATATGTTCCTTCTCCAATTTTATCTATCAATTTATATTTATTATCAACAATGTTTCCTTTCATTTTGTCTTGAACTTAATTTCAATTGAGATTGACTTTGTTTTTCATTTTATTTTTGATTTGTTTATTTCATTTGTTATTTCGTTTTAGTAAAGGGTAATATTATTTTCACTTTGTAGAAATGTATTGAGTCACCAGATTGAAAAGTTAATACAAAGTTTTCATTTTGAAGTTCTGAAAGAAAAAAAATTATATTTAAAAAAACCATTCATTGTTTATTTCTGGTTCATTTCATATTTCTTGTGATAGAAGACTCTTTTTCAATCAAAGGAATATATCAAATAATATTTAATAATAACATTTAGTAATGCTCTTGACTCTTGAAAAGAAAAAACAGTGTAAAAATAATCACGAAAATACAAAAGGATGATGAAGTGGTAATAAAGTGTGTATAACAATAATGATAAAAGAAATACAAAGA